AACTCTTCATAGGATATTTTCTTATGAAATTCGATTGGCAGTTGTTGTTTTTACAATCATGGATAACTCAAATTTTCCCATGGATAAAACTATTTAGATTCGAATATTCATAAGCAGATACATTTTCTTTGAAACATGCTAAATAAAATTTTAAGCAGCATCTAATCAAACTATAAAAACGTCAAGTCAGTTGCTTGAACTTTTAAAAAGATATACACGTTTGTTTTTCGCTTGGACTTTGCAACACTCTGTATATACAATATTGGACATCTTTTAAACTAAGTTATTTTTTTCTAGAGTTGTTCTAAAAAATTGAATCCATATAAATGAAAATAGAAGAACACAAGTCACATTTTGGTAACTAAAATTTTTTAAAAGAAAGTCGTCTCGAATGTAAGGAACCTATATTGTGACAACCAATATAATATTTTATCATTTTGCTAATATGAGTAATGTTTTTTTTTTCAAACTATCACATTTGAAAGATGTTTTCAACTCGTAAGAAAATCACTTAACGTTCAAAAAACCTAAAATAAACAGGAGTTTCGGAAGATTCCATTGAAATTTCAAGAATATCACGAAATTCTTCGTCAAATTCTGCAGCTTTGAATGTATGTTTTAGAATTTTAGATGAACTATTTGGGGTAAGCGGCTTTAAAATAAAAGAGGAATTGAAAACATCAAAATAAGTCTTTTATGATACACCTATACCATTCATATTTTTAATTCTAAATAATCTTAGTACTTTCACTCTTCAGTTTAAGTTATAAAATTTTGTTCAGAATTAAATCCTACATTTGATAGCTCAATAGTAAACATTTCGTAGTCTCCGGTTGTACACTTCCAAAAACCTTAAATGGTCGTGGAAGTATAGAGCATGTAATTCTCTATTGATTGATATGAAATAATTTACTTTTAGCATCCACTTTGATGAGCAAATGCTACCACTAATCAATAATTGTCAACAAAAAATAGGAAGTTGTAGTTGATTTATACCAAAAAAAATTCATGCGCAAAGTTTTTATCCAGTATGGTATTATTTTCTTAAAATATAGAAAATCAAAATGTATTTTTCATAATGAATTTGTAAAACGTAAATCGATTGAATTGTTTCATTCATATATGGTTCCGTTAAATGTTCTTTTTTCTTCATAGACAAAATAAAAATAATTTTTGCTTAAATTTCATATAATAATATGACTTTATTACAATACAATGAATATCTTGAAAGAATGTATGATCATTAGAAAAAATTCGCACTATTGTTCTTTTGCTTCTTCTCTATACCTTATGTTTTTCATAATAATCATTAGTTCCACATATCCTGAAGATTATTAGTACAAGAATATGAACCAAACGAACTCGATACAAATACGCAAATCACATCTCATTAGTATTCAATCGTCTTTAAGTCGCAAAAAAAGAACTATTGACAAACATTCTATAATACTTGCATGTATATTTGTAAATCTAAGCTTCTTAGTTACCATTTGTTATCAAAATTTGATTAGACTAATGAAATTTTATAGAAAAAAGAAACCGAAGTAATTTAGTTCGTTTTTTTTTTCGTTTTTTTTTCTTCTCGCTACCTAATATGTCAACATATCAGTTTACATATCTTTGTTCGAAAAATAAGTTATCATATTAAATTCAAATATTTATATAAAGATATAAGTCTTTGTGCTATTCGATCAGTTAGTGATTTCTTGTGCATTTTTGTTAAAAGAACAGCAGTAAAGTATAGGTTTGTATTTATAATGGTCTAAAAAGAAAAATTTTTTTTTTTTGAAATTTTACCAAGCAAAAAAACACAAGTTATTTAGAAACGGGGTTAAGCTGTAGATGTTAATTAGCAATAACTATATGTGTGTTGTTACTATGGACAGTCTATTAACAACGTTGAGGTACTTCGTTAGACACGCATACTTAATAAAACAATGTAGCGCAAGAAGAAAAAGAAATATGTTCGAGCGTCGTATGCTTTTCCAAAGACGAGGATAATATATGAGATGTAGAGAAAGTGCAATAAAAATATAATCATACAAAAGTTTTTTTTTTTCATCGTTGTTACGTTTTCTCTCTCTCTCTCTCTCTCTCTCTCTCGCATTTTGCACAGTGACATTTATAATAAACATTATGGACGATGAACAAAGTGAGTTAACTCAAACCAAAAATAAATTATTCAATAGATTTTTATTATAAACAGACAATAAAAAGAAAAATTAGTACGAAGAAGAAGAATAATTGAAAACATCTACAAAATTTTCTTTCGAAGAATAAGTTTCTCTTGATTAGAAAGTTAAGATTGAATAAGCAAAAATTGTTCTTGTTTTTTGTTTTGTTATTTTATATAAAAAAATTTTCTGAAAATTTTCAGATAATTAATCAAAATATCTTAGTTATTCTTAACGTTTCTAGTCTGAAATTTCTTTCTATATTTCATTACCAATACAAAAAAAACATCATTTTGTAACAGTGAATCAGTATACCGTATATATACAGAATATCCCCGACAAAATCACCATACAAAAATAAATCTGAATATAAATACCCCTATAAAGTAGTACTTCCGTATTCAATACACAATAAAATCTTTTTTTTTTGACTTTCGAAAAACAATATGTAGAGCGTTTCTTATATTTCTTCAATTTTTTTTTCATTGAGTGATTACTATATTTCTTTCAAATGATTTTTTTCTTCCTTCATCAAAAAAACTTTGATAGAAGAAGGTTCGCTGGGTAAATTGGCACAATTTTAGAGTTTTCACAGTTATTACATTTGAGTTCATAATGTATCTGATTTTTTCAGAAGTGCCAAATAAATGTTAATAAAGTAAGAAAAAAGGGACCCTAAATACTTGAAGATCCGCAATAATGCAAAAAAATAAATAAGAAAAATCTTGTATACTGTTTTTCAAAACTCGAAAAAATGTATTAAACATGAAAGTACTACTTTGTATGATTATTTAAGAATATTTATTCATCTTTGAGAGAATAAATCCTAATAAAGAATGATTCCATATATCTTATTAAATAATTTCAATATTTACTTTGTAGTTATTGAAACGTTGGAAGCAGATTCAATGCCAACATACGAAATACCTCGAGATTATCGACAAGATACTAAAGGTTTTGTCGAACAAAAAAAAAAACATTATTTTATTTAAATTATCGTTTGTTTTTGTTTTTCTTTAATGATTATAGGAAGTACTACCCCTCGTAGTTTTGTTGATGAATCAACTCAATATACACCAGTTACTGAATATCCATCATCATCAGCAATGTCTTCACGAATAAAACAATCAGCTTCAATGTATAGACTTGAAAGTCGATATCAACCAATTACAAAAGGAAGTATGTTATAATATTTGTGAAAATTTTATAAGAAAAAAGAAGAATTTTATAATCTATATTAGATCAACAATCAAGTCAACCAATATTTTTTGTCGAACCTGTAGTTGTCGCACAACCAATGCTTTATAATATTCCTAATGCACAAACTACTCCAATATTTAATCAATCAACATCTAGCAATAAACAACCATCTATTCCTACATTCTATTCAATAAATGGTCAATCTCGTCGTCTAACCGTCGATATGAATACTAATAATTTAGATCATTCTAATCAAGTTATCAATGAATCTCCTATGCTTTATTCTATGATCAATCGTCCACCTTCTGAAAATCAAATTCAAGAATCAAATAAACAATATTTACAACAACAACCACCACCAACTGTTTATTCAATTGTTGGTAGTGCAGCACGTACATCACGTGGTGTACAAGTAAGTACGCTTGATACTGTTCAACCAATACCAATTTTATATACGATTACGGGTGATACATCAACTCCAATAAATACACCAAAAGAAAATGTTCCATCACCAACTGTGACGAAACCATCAAACGATATTATGATGTATTCATTAGATAATGAAACTAATGTTCCTCGAAAACAACAACAACAACAACAACAACAACCAATTCAACCAACTACACTTTACGCATTAGTCAGTCGACCACTTTCACCATCAAAGTATTCAATATGATTTTTACATTTAAAAATTATTTAGATTCTTTTCTAGAAAATCAACAACAATAATACCTACTGAACGTATTAATCGTAATGTCGAACGAAAACCAGAAACAATCCATGAAGAAATTATATCGTATCCAATAATAAAAGCTAAACAGGAACCACAAGCAAAAGGTTAAATTGTTGTTTTATTTTTAAAAGAAAAAAAAAACTATAAAAATAAAATTTTAGAATCAAAAAATCCAAAATCACAAGCATTATTAATTCCTCTTAATGATGATGAATATCGTACACGTGCTAAAGTAGCTCATCAATCACCTCTTTTTTATTCAACTCCAGAACAAACACAGCGTAATCCTTATACTACAATACAAAATCAACCAATTCAATTGTCTGATTATCATTCACCATATGAATATCGAAAACAGAAACCATATCGTGAACGTAAATATACTAATAATCCATTGCCTGTTGTATCAAATAATCGTCTTGAACGAAAAACAAAACCACAACTTAATGAAACACGTTCCCGTATTGAACGACAACAATTAAATGTTCCATCAAAATCAACATCTTTAGTAATTATGTTAATTTTCTATTTACACTTTTTTTAATAGTTTTTTTTTTTTTTTTGTAGGAAAGATATCCTGTTAATAGAAATGCACGTCTTGGTTTATGGGATGCTGGTTATCAAACACAAACTGATGATGAAGAATATGTAAATAAATATAACAAGAAAAAACGAAATAGAAAAACCATGCAACCACGTGCACCATGGATACCTGTTTGGTAATCGAACACAACAAAATAAAAAGAAAAAAAAAATTTTTTTTTGCTATTCAATTTCTGCTTTTATCTTTTATATATATATATATAAATAGAATGAAAAAAATATATTAAACTGTTTCATTTTGTTAATTTTCGTCTTTTTTTGCAAAAAATATAAATGTTTATAATGAGACATTAACGGACATCATTTTTTGCACAAAATAATTTGAATTCTATAAAAGATAATAAGAAAAAACAAAAACCTTATTCAATGAAAATATAAATTAACATGAATATATACATACCTTCAAAACTAATTGTACCACTATCATCAACATCAAGTCGTTTAATTAAACCTTGAATTTCTTGTTCAACTAGTGCTGGTGCAACACCAAGCATTTCTTGCATTGGTTTATAATATTGTCTTAATTCCTCAACGGTTATACTACCATCACCATCTTTATCCATACGACGAAATTCTTTTCGAAGTTGTTCTTCAGAAAGCGAAGCCATTTGATATTTATTTTTTTGTTTTCGTATGAATGTAAATGCATAAATATTATTGCATGTAATACCTATTTATATACACAAAAACGGATGATTTGCTTCATACTTGACTGATTTTACTCATAATATATGATGAGTTGCATAGACGAAGGAAGAAAAATGATGTAAATATGAATAATAAAAAACATGAAACATAAATATATTTTATCATTATGATTGGTTATAAATAAGATTGAAATCAATTTTTTGACGAATAAAAACAGTGTAGGATAAACATATGATAGAGGTAACATCAAGCAAGTTTTATATTAAAAAAAAATAGGTGAATAAATATGCAATAAAAATATGAATAATGTCTAAACTGTCCTTGAAAAAAATATCTCCCGACTTTTCATGTTTACCTGAATGTCTATGAGATATAGTGTCTCATATGAAAAGTTTCCCACTAAGAACATTGTTGTTATTTCTGAATATTATATTACTAATAATTAGACGCTGATGTAGATTAGTAACCTAGGATAAAGAAAAGATAAAAACTTCACACATTCTACTCAGGAAGAATTTGATAACGAAAGATATTTTTGTCGAAAGAACAGTTTACTATGAACATTTTTTCATGAACGAAAAGCTAGAAACATTTTCGACTATTACCGACACATATCGAAATAATTACTAATTTTCTATCTGTATTTAACCTACACATGAGCGGGACTATCTTGTCTATATCCATTTAGAACGCATGAATCGTAACAATATGACATTCGGTACAAGTTTTATCCGATCATAAAAGGTATTGTTCTTAATGAAAAAGTGTTGGTGCTAGTCCCGAAACTATCTCGCACATATCTAATTTCAACACATTTCAAATTGAATAGTTTTAATATTTCATCCTTATTCAATATTATCAATGAATTCAATAATCAATTTATATATATATGTCTCAATTAAATACACTTGATAGCAATATATTAAATCATACAAAATTCAGTACTTTAATCATTTCATGTACATGTTTTGTAAGCATCTCTTAATAGATGGTTTTTTTTTATATAACACCATTCAGGTTCATGTATAGTGCTAAAACTGTACCACTAAATCCTGCCCAACAAAAACCTTTATGATCAATCATACAAACTTGTATATTGAATATTATTCAGAGAATGTTATTATTTAGAAAAATACATATGAATAATTGAAGAATGAAAATAAATATTAATCAATATGATATTAGTCATTTAGAATACAATATACAGTTTAATCCAATTTTTATTTTTTTTGTTTCTCAGTGTACAAAGCAAATAGTCAATCTGTTTTATTTTACCTAAGAACAAAAAAAAATACCTAGTACACGATTTATTAACATACACAAAGAGAGAGAGAGAGAGAAAAAAACAATGAAATTTAACATTATTTCCAAATTTTAATATGTCGTTTAGCTATTTCATAGCTTACATTATTAACAATACCTTCCCATTGAAGTGTATCATTTGGTTCATTAGTACTAATGAGCCAAATATTTAATGTTAGAAGATTAGTCATATTTTTAACAAATTTACTTGCAATTTGTCTTAAATCATGTATAGTATTTAAATTAATTTGTAAATGTTTTACATTTGAAAATATTTGAAGAAAACGATTACTATCAACAATCGGTAGAGTACCACGACGTAATACAAATTTTTCAAGTTTATCATGTAATTGAGAACATACATCATTATTTTGAAGACAATTTGTTAGAGTCTAAAACAAAAAAAAATAAAATTTTCAATAGATCAAAATGAGAATATTGATGAAATGATAAAGCGAAAGATTAAAATCATTTGTCATAATTTTGATTACATTCTCAGAAAACTAATGATGAGAGAGATACATATGTATTGCTGAGATTCCAAATATATATAATTCTTATGTAATATTTTATCTATTCTTCAAATGACAATCCAAATATACTGTTTGATCTTATTCTCTTAAGTTGAAGAAATATCAAACAGAGTAATTAGAAAATCTCGCATAAAACAGTATATTCACAATGATATAATAACACGAATCTAATTGGAAAAGTATTGCATTTTTCTTCTTTTTTTTTTTTTGAAGATCGTTAGAGAAATAAAATACGTGATATTTCAACTGATACTCTGTTATCATGAAATCAAGGGTTTACTTTTTAATTAATTTAATATCGTAAGAAATACTTCGATTTCTATACTCAGATTTTTTAATAAAAACACTGAAAAATAACCTATCCAAAAAATCTTTAATATCTATTTTCATCGAATAAAAATTTACCATAAGAATATCATAATCAGTTTTGAAATAACGTAAACATGGTGTAAATTTTAATAAACCTAGAAAAATAGATGTAGGTAACGGAATGAAAAGTTCAAAATGAACTAATTTATATAAATTAAGCATAGTATGAAGTTGTGTAAGTAATATTGAATAATTAACTGGAACAATAGCATTTTGATATATTTGAAGAGCACGTACATTCGGATATATTCGTTGAGTATAAACCTAAATTGTTTTTTTATGTAAATTTTCATTTATAAATTAAGTTTTTTTATTACCTGCATTGGCGTATTGGTTTTTAAATAAAGATCTGTAACAGAAGTAAACGCATTATACGGTGCTTCCGTTACAGGTAAACAATGTATTGTACTAATAAATGAAAGACGACGATAAGGTGCAGTAAATAGATGAAATTTATTATTATCTTGTGAATAATCAACAGCTATATGCCATTGACGCCAAAATCCAGTTAAAAATGATGATGAAAGTTCATCATCAAATGTTACTGATACTGCTTTAATATCTAATATAAGAAAACGTAATTGTTCTAATGATGTTAATATACGTAACCATCGTTCTGAATTTAAAAAATCAATTCCAATAGCAATTATTGTAAGTCGAAAAAGTCGTGGTAAAAATGAAAGTATATGTACAATATAATCAAATCGTACTGTATATATACAATTAAGTTTCAATGTATGAAGTGTTTGAAATGATGTATTAAATGGTGGTAAAAAACCTTGAAAATTAACAAGAAGTCGATGAATAGTAAGATGTTTAAGTAAAGGATAAAAATGAAAAAGTGTATGAAGATCATTTATATAAAAACTATCGAGAACAAGTCGATTGAGATAAGAATTTGGTCGAAGTTTGTTTGTAGATAAAACATCATCGTATGAAAGAACACATCTGTATATTAAAAGTGTTTTGTGTTTTTTTTTTATTTGTAAACTATTTTTATTGAAAATTTCTTACGTTTTTAAATATGGAATATCGAAAACAAGACCAAGTTGAATTTTTTGTTCATATGTTTTATAAGATTTGATATGAATTGATGATAAATGTTTTAATTTAATTATTTCTTTATATTCATATTCATTTGGTTCAATAAATGACATTGTTGATAAATTAGGAAATGTTATATCAATATGTGAAAATTTTGTTAAAAATAATTTTATTCCACCACATGTTTCAATATTAGATAAACGAATTGAATAAATACATGATGAATAATTAAGAAAAATGTTTGTACAATATTCATTAAATTCATTAAAAGATATATTTGTCGATAGATCAACATGCATTCCACGTTGAATAATTACATTTTCTAAACGATTATTAAGCATACCAAATGCATGAATTAAATCAAGTGGTCGAAGATAATCAAAAATATCCAAGAGAATTTCATTAGCTAAATTTTCAAATTTTGATAAAGACATTACTTTTTGAAAATCTAAAAAAAAACAGAAATTATTAATTGTAATGATTTATGTTAAGTTTAAAAAGTATTTAAATATCTTGCAAATATTACTTTATGAATTCTACTATAATTATTTCATCAATAAAAAGTGTATATATGTGAAAATGAATAAATTTGAATCAAGTAGATCACTTTGAATAGTTAATTATATGCTCGATTTAACACTTATAATGCTTACAAAAAAAAAAAAATGATTTACGATAATTACTGTTCCCAGACTAGTATAGCAAAATTGAAAAGTTGTTTATCAACAAAAAAGAAGCATTTTGATTGAAATCGCTTACGTGATAATTATTTCAACATATACATGTAATCCGATAGATAAGAAACTTTTACAAATAGAGACGTGATCGAATCTAGAATATTTGTTTTTCAAGTGTTAATTGATTTCCTGTTCTATCTAACAAGGGAAGTTCCGCAACTGATTAATCGCTTTTAAGTTCGGATTATATGGATCATGTAGACCATAATAAGTTATAAAATTCTGAAAATAAGTTTGAGATCTTAGCTTATTGTTTTAGAGATAGTATAGGAATATAGTATTGAGAATAGTTTTTATACACATCTGTAGATTCAGTGTCCTAATGCCAAGATAGAAGAAAATCAAACGATCTGAAATTTTCACAATAAACTATTCTCGGTATTTCTACAGTATCTTCATAGCAATAAGCTAATGATCCGAATTCTATTCCGAGTATTGCATTAATTTACATGTTTAAATAAGATTAGAGAAAAGTTTTAATATTTCCAATGACTATTACTGTGCTTAGAATATGCAAAAATATAACAACTTTCAAGTACAGAATTGTCTTTGATTGCGAATAACTTTTGATAAGAACAAGATAGAGAGCTGTGGTTTACACCATTCGAAAGAGGAGATGAAAATGCATCGAATCATATATTATAGGTTTTTTTTTCTACAATGTTTTCTAAATAATTGCTGGAAAAATGGTTTCTAATCAAATAAGAAAAACGCCCAAAGTAATTTTTTCATAGAAACTAATAGAAAAATCGACTCAGAATTTCGAGTAGAATACGTATAACTTCTGAATGAATAACTCTCAAAGTCTGACCTTTGCACAGTTTTGTAGGTTTTCGACTAGAGGTTCGAATGCATTCCTGATCATAAAAAAAATTCAGTGTAGTCACTTTACGCACTATGTTGCTTTTCAAAAATGGTGATTTAAGTCATTGAAAAAACTAGGTCAAATCATTTTATATTATACAACTCGACACATCTTCATGTCCTCTTTCGAATAGTGAAAACTGTAGCTCTCTATCTTGTTCCTATCGAAAATTTATTCGCAATCAAAGACTACCCGGTTACCTTTGGACTACTCCCTGCATATTCTAAAACAGAAAGAGATGTTCGAGGATATGATAAGTCTTAATCTCAAACTATCGAAAATATACCAAATAAATATTGGCTTGTTTTGAAGTTATATAAATTGAATTGTTTAGTTCTATCTCATCATTTAACAAAAAAAACAATTAGTCCATTTTTCAAATATTGATTACAGATTAAAAAAAGACATTAAACTTATTTTCTTTTTTTTTTTTTTTGTTTCGTGTAAATGAAAAACAAAACATCTACATTTATAAAATAATATTTTTTTCTTTTAATTGACAATGTTCTTTTAAATATTTTACAATACGTTCACAATCAATTCCTTGACGTTGTATATGAAAATAACCTTTTTCAGATAGATCAATAATTGTTGAACCACGTCGATCATTTGATGTTAATAAACCACCATCAATAATTAAATCAATTTGTGACCATAATTGTTTAAATTCATTAATAGAAATTGAACTTGGTTCATTTGATATATTTGCACTTGTTAAAGCAAGAGGTTCTTGTAAACGTTGTGCTAAATCAATCATAAATTGACAATTTGGTATACGAATAGCTACATTATTTATATTTGGATTAAAGTATGAAGGTAATGATGATTGTCTTTCAAACATAAGTGTTACTGGACCAGGAAGAAGATCACCCGTAGATAATTGTTCTTTTGTTAATGTTGGTTTTGACCAAATAAATAAATCATCAACATGACCAACAGATATTGCTAATGGTTTTGTAAATAATCGACCTTTAATTTCATAAATTTTACGTATAGCTTTTTCATTATTTACTAATGCTGCAAGACCATAAATTGTATCAGTTGGTACAGCTAAAACACCATCATGCTTTAAAATTGATATACATTGATCTATTAAATTATTTTCATTTATTGAAATAATATTGGTTGACATTATTTTCTTGTAATGAATAGAATAACAACGTAATACGTGGCAATTGAATTTTTGAATAAATGAAAAAATACGAATCATGATAACATTCTATGAGGGAAGATTGAAATTCCATTTTGTTTAATAAAAATATTCTTATCTATACCAGAAATATTTTTCAAGTTAAATGAAGAACAATGGTTGAATCTTAATTATAAAAAAAACAACAAGAGGAATTAGTATTTTCTTTTTTCGTTGTTTTTTGTTACATTTTTATTTATCCAATACTTCGATATGGTAATATTATATAAATATATAGGGGTCGCTGTAAACACAATCTTGACATAATAACGAGTGCGCCAGAATTAATAGTCACGTTTAGTATTTATCTTTTTATCATCTAATATGTTTTATTGAGAAACAAAATATATTACATGATACAGTTTGAAAAGCCCTACAATCTACAACACAAAGCTTATTTCATATATGAACTGTTAGTTTTCAAAATAGACAAAATTCTGTGTGACTAAATTTCGATGCTGCGAAAAATACTATTAGTACTGGAGATTTGCTGATCAACTCTAAACGTACTCGACTAAATTCACAACAAGTAAAGAACACATTGTTTATACGTTTAGTAAAAAAAAGTCAATGATAGTTATTCATTGTGATCTCATTATATTTTTTGTATTTTAAATGTACTTTATTTGAGTGTGTAGGTGAAGAGAAGATTAACCCATACTCACAAGAGAATCTCTCTCCAGGTGCTAAAACGTTTTTGAGTTCAATTTTGTTCATACATAGGGAATGTGTAATCTAGAAAAATTCTAAGAGAATATGAGCACAAGTTGCGATTTGGCTGAGATATCGACTTTTCTGATAAAATCAAAGTTTCGATTTTTGACCTGAAACTATACATACATCGAGGTCTCCATCAGACTAACTTGTCTACAAAATTTCAGAATACCTGAATAGATTATCTCCAAGATATCAGTATGTCAGCTTATAGACGCTTTTTATAGATATTGTATTATGCACGAATATTTTGTAAAATCCATATTTCGGAGCTAATTCATCGAGAAATTTTTAAACGTTGTAGACAAGCTAGTCTGGTTGAGAACTCGATGCATGTAAAGTTTCAGACCAAAACTCGAAACTATGATTTCACCGGAAAAGTCGATATCTTAGCCAAATCGCAACTTGCGCTCATATCCTCTTAGAATTTTTCTAGATTACACATCCCCTGCCTATGGGCCAAATTTCAGCTCAAAAGCTTTTTACTTAGAGTATATCAAAAGTTCTGGTCACGACGTTTAAAGGATCTTTTCGGATAAGGGAACCTATTGATAAATGAAAAACCAAATATACCATGTTGTAGAGCTTTTTGAGACGCGTCGAATGATATATAGTAAATCTTGTCTTCATAAGACTTTATAGGAACTAGAGTCAATTTACTAATAGACAACTACACATCCACACCCAAGCATGATAGCTTCCTGAATATTGTGGTCCTTGATATTAGTCGAAAGTATTTGTAAAATATTTTTTCTCAGATACGATTTTGTAGAGTTTTTGACGGACTACAACATCCTATATGCAGCAACTTCGGTCATCTTGTCAGTGTGGGTATGAGTGGGTGTGTAGTCGTCTATCAATAAATTGACTCTATATTCTTGAAAATCCTATGAAAACAAGATTTACTATATACCATTCGACGCGCCTCAAAAAGATCCTTTAAACGCCGTGGTCAGAACTTTTGGTATGCCCTAAGTAGCACCTGAAGAGGTCCCCTTGACAGATCCTTGGGGCAGCCACCTGATCAAAAATCCTGGCGCCGTCGCTACCAGACCCACATCCTATTAAGCAGGTATATATATATATAGTGCTTGACCTCTGCGATACAGCCATAGAATCAAATAAAATTAATGTTGTGTAGTTTTAAAGCACAACATAAACTAAAAAGTGGTGTGAGACTTTTGCCGACAATTGTATTTTGTATTAATATAATGAGATGCAAAAGCACATAGCTTTTTTCTATGACGCTGTTATTTATAGCTTCACTTTGTATGTATGATTGATCGAATTTGATCAAGTAATTTTTTTCTTTAGTAAAATTGGTCTTCCAGCATCTAAATTTTCTTTAAATAATTTAACAATTAAATGCCAATCATAAATATAATCAAATTTTTCTTTAAGACGATTAATTAATGTTATAAGTAAATTTCTTAAATATCCATAATCTGGTCTTTGTGTATATGATAATGTTCTTGAATATTTATAAAATAATTCAAATTCATATGGTAAATTTGAATAAAGTTCTTTTGATGTTAAACTTTCTTTTATTTCCATTAATTTTTCATTACGTTTTTTTCTATTTGAATTTTTTATTGACATCCAAGGTAAAAAACCTTTAGCTAAATAAATAATTATATAAGATAAACATTCAATATCATCACGTCTTGATTGTTCTAATCCATGATGTGTGTATAATGAACAATAACGTGCTGTACCAGTTAAAGTTTTACCAGTTCGATATAATATATGTTCATATGTTAATGGATGACGATAATTTTTACATAAACCAAAATCAATTAAATGTACTATATGTGATTTCATTCCAAGACCAAATAAAAAATCTATTTGATTAAGACAAAATATTAGAAAATATATTTAGATTTATTTATTTATTTTTCTATACATACTATCAGGTTTTAAATCTCGATGAATAAGTGAATGATTATGTAATGCTTCAATAGCACGTAAAATTTGTTCTATAATCATACAAATTGTTTTTAAAGAAAATTTTCTTCCACAAAAATTTAATAAATCTTCAACTGAAGGTCCTAATAAATCCATAGCAAGAACTGTATATTCATTATGTATACCAAAATAAAACATTTTTGGAATATAAATACTTTCATACATTATTTCAAAAACATATTTTTCTATTGATAATTGTGGACGTGAAGTATTTAAATTTTCAAATTTAATTGCAATTAATAAATCATTTTGATTTTTATCTTTAGCTAAATAAACCTTAATTGATATAATAAAATTTATTAATAAAAGAAAAAAAAAATAATAACAATAATAAATAATCCAAACATACTTCACCAAATCCACCACTACCTAAACGTTTTATTGTTATAAAACGATTTGCTATTATTTGAATTTTATCTAATAATGTATTTTTATCAGATTGTTCAATTTTTTTTATTTCGATTTTATCATTATTTATTGGTTGCAATGAACTTATTATTGATGTTATACCTTTTAATTTAGATTTTCGAAGTGCATCACCTAATGGTACTTCAAGTTTTAATACATCGGACATAAATTAAAAAAAATAAAAAATATAATATTTCGCGCTTTATATTTCGATTCGATTCGATAGTTAAATAAGTTTCTGTATGGAAAATATTTTTCGTTAACGACGTGACTTTGTAAAATTGAAACATATCTATCTCAGAATAATGAACTTTTCTAGCGCTAATTTTTATATATTACATGTATATTAAGCCACTCTAGATATCACGAAAAAATCAGTGCTAGAGACCTTTGTTCCAAGGAATTATCAGTAATGAAAACTAGCGTCAATGATTTGACGAAATGCAAATATACAAACGAAAAAAATTCTGTTATACCCGAATGAAAAGTTCCAAACGATACAAATTCTTTTTCAAAATCTCTAGAAAATCCGTTTTTAAGGAGAAGATTTTTGGAATTCGCTTTTGCTGAAAAATTCACCAAAAATGCAAGTCATGCCATAGAATCTATCCCGGAGTTTTAGAAAAGAACTTATTCATTAAAATAACCCTTGTAAAGAATCAAAGTCAAATGAAAGATGAGTATGTCTCGTTTTCGCCTGCAACGGTCATATGTGGTATAATTACTGTTTATATGATGTATAAACATATGGTGTATATGTTTTTCTTGGTGATCAAGTCAGTAGTTGTTTGCGAACATTTATTTGATCAATTAAGAAAACATCTTTACAAAGTAGAATCGAAGAGCGAAAGACATGATTTATAATGTAGAAAAAGACATCATTAATAAAACATAATTGAATATCTAATTTTTAATATGTTTATAATCAAGATCATTCTTGTTAGTTGTATTGAATTCTTTGATATATCAATTAGAAGAAAGAACACAATCTCATTTGACAACTATTAAAATCAACGAAATATTATTGCTTTGTTTGAATCAAAATATATAATTTCGAAGTATCCTATGTGAAATGCTATATAAACCATAGCTCTTCTTTAGTAAATACTTTTATTAAATCCAACTCTCAAAATTCCTAGAAGAAAACTCCGTACTACGATTATTTTTAATATACAAAATTCTCCTGAATGGCAATTTCTAAAGGTGCTGAGAGCATAGATCATGGATCTCTAACACGGCCAATTTTCGATCATTTTAGTTGAAGAAAAAAAGTCTTAATACATACAAGAAAATTTGTTTTTCATTTTCGAAATGAATATTTACACGAACAAGGTGCAGAATCGCTGATTTTTTTTGTGCAGATATTGAACACTGTTTGGTTTTTTTGAAAAATATTGCACCGTTAATTTTTGGCAAATTTTACAATAACGCTCTAGTAACAAAAAGTCTGTATTTTTGAAAGTAGGCTTAATATTTTGATCCGAATGGACAGAAATTTAAAAAAAAAAGTAGGTACCTCAAACAATGTCTAATATCCGTAAAAATAATTTCAACTCTACTGGACTTATTGAAGCTGAGAAAATGGGACAATTTTTAGTCTTTACAATCCAGATATTTCCTAGAAGGAAGTATTTAGGAATTTGAAGTCTATGATAACTTTTGTTCTACTCATCGAAGTCTATCTACCTTGAACGTTTCAAATATTTCTGATTTCTTCAGAAATCCTGAAAAGAAGGTGGATGCCCTTGAATCGAACTATCTACACTGATCGTCTTACTATATCTATTTTTGCTTGTTTCCATAATGCGAACATTTTTTTCTCTCATTAAAAAAAAATGTGTCCGCAATCAAGAAAACACACTGTTTGTCTAGATGATATCAAATCAGTATTTATCTTTTTTTTTTCTGTTTCTGGTTGTATAATATTATATTTGAAGCATCTTTGTTGATGATAAGCTTATGTTATTAGATCAATATCTATTTCGATTCATAATACTATCGGTGAGTAGAGAAGTGTCCTTGTGCACTATCAAAAAGATTAGATCTCTTTTTATGTAGAGACAATATAGAACACGTATACAGTAATCGGACACTTAGATTTCTTTCTTTCTTTTTTTTCTCTCACTCTCATTCAACTTCTGATCACACAATCGTGCTGATTAGAACTTTTCTTTTCTATAGATTTCATTTTCATAGGCATATAGAAAAGAAAAAAAAAGACACGAGTAGTATAGAGAATAGCAAGAAAATCAACAATGTCTGTAACTAATTTTTCATAAAAATGTGTGATGATAGTTAGTGTTATCAAGTCTTTATTGTCAAATAATTAACTATGAATAGTTTTCACTCAATTTACACTAGCATATAGATGACAAAGTCATTAGAAAAATGAGAAGAATAAGAGAAAGAGAAAAGAGTTCTTGTCCGCATTTTTATAACTTCTCTTCATTCTTCTATGTCATTGTTTTAAAAGCAATAAAATAGAAGTAACAGTTCTCTTATCATGGTAACACTTATTCCGTTATTCGGTCACTTGTTCCCTACATTTTGAGAATTGTATTATGAAATTCTACACTCAATTTAATATATGGTTCATGTAGAGAAAGTGAATGAATTAATATTTATATGATATAACAACGAGAAGTTGCTCCTTCTCTTTTTAACACAGTTGTATGTCTTGCCAATAGTTCAATATCTTCATTTTCTTTTCGAAGATATTATTTGTTTAATAGAAAAAGTAACAAATGTATATACGAAAGGTGAGAAGAAAGAGTAGAATCAACTCTTTTATATTTATATAGTGTGTTTGTTACTAGAGAAAAGAAAAAGAACTATGAAATCAATTAATTTCTTTTCAAACAATTGGTTTTTTAATACTTCATGTTAACACAATGAACGTAACACTCGATAAAATTAGTTAGAATTCATTTTTTTCTTCTTGTCAATAGAAAAGAAGATGAGAAATTTTTATTCTACTACTATTCTTTTTATAGATATGAATAACTTTTTTGCTTGTAAAAATGGTCAAAATATTTCATGGACATCTGTATGTGATGGTTATAATCAATGTAAAGATGATTCAGATGAACAAAATTGTAATTTATTCCATAAACAAAAAAAAACTTTTCATTTCAATTTTAACTTTTTTCTTTTTTTCCTAGGTTATTGTCAAGGTGATGTTTATGCTTGTTTACAAGGAAATAATGTTAGTTGTAGGATTGCATGTGCAACTTATGGTCGTGTTACTTGCTTAACATATCAAAATACACGAGCATGTGAACATTATATACACGAACATAGTAGTAAAGACGACAGTATTGTTTTTTTCTTAATAAAACTTTTTAAATTTTAGGTAGTACAATTCACCTTGATATTAGTTCTACGAGTGAATCATTTATATTAACAAATGATTTTGATGCACTTCGATATTCAGCTTGTTTAGCTATTAGTATATTAATATTTGTTTCAATTTTTTCCATACTTATTTATTTAATTCGTATAAATCCTTCAAAATTATTCTTCTCTTATACAAATAAATCATTTAATACAAATTTAAATCGAACATCGACAAATAGATTATCATCTATTATACAGCAACAACAACAACAACAATCTTCTTCATTAAATTTATCTCAAACATATAATATATCAACATCTGATATTAATGATTTACCACCATCTTATAATTATTTAGAACAAAATTCAATATCAATAAATGATTTTTATGAACCTCCACCATATCCTGGTCCATCATTATCTTCATCTATAGAAAATTCGAATTCGATCTATTATGAACCAATAAAAATACGAACATTATCAAATTCAATGTCTATGTTACATCCAATGCTTTTACCAGAACCACATGTATTAACTAAGATTCGAACACATCGTGTATAACAAAAAATCAACAAAAGAATATCTTCTTTTGAATTATCGGTTTTCAATAAAAAGACTAGATGAACCACCGAATCTTTCTGATGATGATGGTAAATTTTGATCAAGAATACGATTTCTAGAAGATTGAGTTTCATCTAATATTTAAGATAAAAAATAAATAAATCATTTGTGCGAAGACTACTATCCATTTTACGACATAATGTGCTCTACTGGTTTTTGAATAATTTTTAATAGGAATATCGTAAAGACCTGCGAGCTTCACCATTGAAGAGAGAAGATTCGGAGTCATCAACTTATGTCCAAATTTGATTGGTCCATTCAATGAGTTGTTGGTGGAGATTGTCAAAAACTATATTCTGAAGCCATTTTCCGTTGGATTTAGACTGAGCAGTAGAAAAAATTCTTCTCGTTCGATCTACGCAAGGCTGATATTCCTAGCTTGTCCCATTTGAGAGTTATACGACTTTTTCTGAGACTTCTGATTTCAGCTAATTGACTTGTGATCATCTGGAAAAGCAGCTAAGTAGGAGTCAGCCACGATGGTCAGTCGAATGGTAATATTTATTTTTAGATTCGAACTGATTTAATACTGCTATTTCAATATTTTTGAAATGTCGAATCAGAAATAGTATTATTCGACTCAGCATGGTGAATTATCCCAGTCTAGCTGCTTTTTCGGGTAGTCACAAGTCAATTGATTGAAATTGGGGATCTCACGAAAAGTTTTATAACTCTCGGACGGAACAAGCTACAGAAGGTGGCCTTGCGTAGATCGAACGAGAAGAGTTTTTTTCATCAACCAGTCCTATTAAAAGTTTCAATCGAAACAGGAATAGTTTCAGAATAGCGTTTTCGAAAATCTCTACTAAGAGTTTGCCTGATTGATAAATTAAGTTTCAATCTATTTCGACGACTCCGAATCTTCTCTCTTGAACGATGAAAATCGCAGATCTCGTTCATCAAGTCCAAAATTTTTAGCCCCAGGTTCGGTTGACTAAAGACTTTCGGATCTGGATACGAACCGTACTTCTTAACGAACGGCCCAAAAGTTCTGCGTTAGTTTTATGTTCAGTATAACGTGACAATAACTCGTCGTCGTCGTCGTCGAGACTCGACAGTTATCTTCTTAGAAAAAATAAAGTCTTTACTAGAAAATTGTGCAAAAACATTAAGTTCAAAATACTTACCGAAGGCTAAAAAGTGCATTGTAACTTCATACAAAATCAGTGATTAAAAAAGGCATTTGATCGATTAATCTTTCGCTAGACTTTAGAAATTTTTAAGCACGTTATGTGTCAATATAACTAACCTAATACGGACTTTCGACTAGTATCAAAAAATATTCAAGTTACAAAGCCACAGGTTGTATAGGAAATAATTTCATTAAAAACTAGACTTTTTCCTCTACGACGTCCAATGAAATTTTTCTCATAATGTCTAATATTCACACTCTAACAGTAATACATCTCGACGAAGTATTGGATAATGAGAAGCTTTCGACTATCATTAGTCAACTTATTTATCTTCACACTCGATAAATATCTACTTATACCATGTGATTTTTAGCTAAATAATTATATCAAGAGTAATTTAACTAACCAAACAAATGAAAATTCACTGACAAGTGACAAATTATTAGAAATGACGAAGCTTTATATAAATAAATTATAAGTATCCTATTATTTTTATTTAATGTTGTCAGAACTTTTGGTCAACGCTATGTACTTTCTATCAATTGTTTGTATTCTGCTACTAACACACCGTTACACTTTTCTCAGACAATCTTAATGATGAACTTATTAAAATCTAGTCATAATTAGCTGCTGCTTTTCAGAGTATAATCCGTTAGATCGATCTCAAACTCTCATCCGACTCGATGTGGAATCAATCTGACTCGTTCTTATATCCACACATGTAAAATTGTACTAAACAGTCGGCGCATATTAATAGAGAACTGTTTTTTTTTTGTCTTATTCATTATGTTAACAATATTTCTAACAATTCTAAAATTCATATATATTTATTTTTAAACAGCAATAAATTCTAAACAATAAAAAAACTGATCAATTGTAGTTAATAAAAGTATTTAATAAATAAGCATGCAAACAAAAAATAATAATGTCAATCAATATTTGTTACATACATGGAATCATATTTGTTGGACGTTGAATACAAGATGGATCAATACCAAATTGACGCATAACATTATCAATTGGAATATTTTCTATATAAATAAAAAAAACAAAGAAGAAATTATGCATAGTCAATTGTTTATTTTCAAAATCATTTCTCGTTCCTTACCAGGTACATTATAAACTGTTGTTTGTCTACCACATTGACCAACAGTTGGCATAGTTGTTATACCACAACCATATCCACCTAATCCCGGGGTTGATTTTGCTGAACATACACAAGTTAATGGCATAGCATAACATGATGAAGGTATTGTACATGGTTGTTGTTCTTTTTGCATAATAACCATATTTGATTGAGGTTGACTTATACAACAACAACATTGCTGTAATGTTGAACATGGATTATATGACGTTAAAGACGAAGGTGGTAACTTAATAAATAATAAAACAAAAGGAAAGAAAGAAAAAATTTTAAATAAACATTTACTGTTGAACACATATGTTGATTTGTACCAATTTGTGATAATATTTGATTTATATCTGTAGGACATGGCACCGGTGGACAAGGACATGGTACCGGTGGACAAGGACATGGTACTGGTGGACAAGGATATTGTACACAAGGTTCAGTACGAATTTCACGTTGAATACGTACTTGTGGTTGACTATATTGAATAATCATTGGTCTTGTTGGCTGATTAACAGTAGGAGCAGGTAAACGTTGATAGAAAATAGGTCGTTTACGTGGTGGCATAGGAAGCCATCGTTCTATAATAACATTTTGAGGTTTGGGTGGTAATTGAGGATATTGTTCAACGATTACTTGACGCTGTGGTTTTGGTGCAGCTGGAATCATTTTATCAATAATAGTAGTACCTTCAGGTGGTGGTAGTGGTGGTGGATGCTATAAGAAATAATTGACTTGAATAGAAAAAAAAAAACAAAATTGTCATAGACAAACTTCACGAATAGTAACCGGTGGTGGAGTTGGAGGTGGAGGTGGAGCACGTTTAATAACCTATTATTAAATAAAAAAATTTATTATTGATTAATTGATAAATATATTTAATTACAAGAGGTGATTCAGGAGGTGGTGGTGGTGGTTGTTTTTCTCGAACAATAATTGGTCCACCAACAGGTGGAGTTGGAGGTTGTAAATATCTTACAAATACCTATTTTATTAATGAATAATTAATTCTTCTTAAAGATAAAAGAATAAACAAAAAAAAAATTAATTACTCGTTGTTTATATACGACATCATCTTGTGCTGCTTGTCGTATAACACGAGTATTTGGTTCACATCGCATTGTCTATTTGCAAAAAAAGAAAAAAGCTTTCAATAATTAATATTGAAAGTTTAATTTCACTTACATCAATATCCATATCAACATGTGATCGATTTGCACGTGGTGCTAGAAATTCTGCTGGAGATGAAATAAAACTATTACATCTATATGGAGGATTATATGATTGAGTATGGAAATTCTCATATCGAGAAAAAGATCTTGAACGATGATATGAATCACAATAAGGATCAATATCATTATAATTACGAGGAGGTATTGGTGGTGGTATTGATGATGCAATACGAGACGGTCGAATTTGTTCATCTAGTAAATGTCCATGACCACACTGACGAATCCAATTGACCATTGACAAATCATTTGACACATCTTCTAAAGACATTTTCTTATGATTATATTCTTTTATTATTTATACATCTAGAATGAAATACTCTCTCAGACAATGATATAAATATATGTATATGTTTGTTTGAGACTGTTAGAAACAAAGTCATCAATTACCGTGTTCATACATAGCACAATAATATTGTATATCGATTCAATAGAAGAAAAAAAAAGTGTAATCAAGTGTCTATACTTCAATTGTATATACGCATATATGTATGTATGTCCTTTCATGGTAGTTGATTTTTACCATGCATTTTTCTTTCGTGTATGTATTCTTTACTACAAAACAGAATCAGATCGTTTTACAAAGTTACCTTGACGGAAAAGGATAGCGAAAAAAAAAATTATTTGTAGCTTATCTGTTCATTCCAAAGGTATAACATTATAAATTATTTTATAGCATTATTAATTTCTTATATTGATACAAATAGAAGGTCGTGTATAATCATATGAAGTATCTGTTTCTTTCTTTCCTTCTTGTTTAATATTCCATCATTAATACATATATACATAATGTTTATCAATGATTCGATGATGCGCATGCATCCTGAGACAATAATATAAATCATAAGTAGATGACAATGAATTGAATGAAAAACCAATAACCTAGAAAGTATATGCATGAATAGTTTGCATTTATATTAGTTCGACACAATATAACATGAAAAAAACATAGACGATCGAAATTTAAATATGAAGAATGTTAATCAAATTTTTGTTTTGTTTTTGAATATTGATCAAACTCAATTGAAAATCTTTCTAGAATTAATATTAATTGATTTCATTACAAAGAATTATCACATTGTATCATAGATCTTTTCGAAGAGGAATTTGATACGAATTTAAAAATTATTTTTATAATTATTTTCATGAGGATATCATTGATTTTAGACATATATTAATTTTTTTTTCAAGTATATTTTGATCATTAACTAGACATCCTTCATAACTGTCCTTTATTTGTTTTTGAACCTTGAATTTAACTTGTTACTTTTTTTTTCATCAAATTGATTGATCATTGATTTGTATGAATATTCTTTTTCTCATTTCAAATTTTAAGCAAAATTATTCATACAATATTAAAACAATGCATGCGAATTATATAATGTTTCTGTACGTGACAACTAATGTACAAAAAAATTTAGTTATTAGCATGATAGTTGAGTAGCCGACGTCTTTTTTTTTTATCAATCTATAAAAAAGCATAGTGTACAAGTCATTTGAACGAAACTAGAAATTGATTCTCACAAAATATATATTTCTTAGCTGAATAGAACAATTTTTGAATGAATATTGCAAAAAAATCGTACTTTGTTTTTCAATGTCAGTGCTTCATCATCATCATCATCATCATCGATGTGAAATAATGTCCATTAGAAACACTTGCGCACTTGTGCATTATGCAATGATTAATTCTGATTTGCGTCGTTATTCATTCTTTTTTCTGATATTTATAACACAAAATAGAATATAAAACTTTGTTTGAGTGTCTCTAAATTTTTTTAAACATGCACTTATTTCACCTGTGTTTATTTTTGATATGGTTGTTCGTGGTATGCAACGGTAATAATTAAAGTCTTAATTATCTCGATATGTTTTTCTTTTCTCGAAATAAATATTTATTTTTCACTAGGTAAATGTCCCATGGCAGAAGTATCCGCTTTCATCAATAATCCAACAATTACGAAAACGATGACTATCCATGGTAAATATAATTTACCAACGGATGGAATAGATAATAGTACTGTACTAACTGGAGCATATGTGCCAATGATGTGCAATAGTGGATATGTACATACAGGCGGTCAGCTTAATATAACATGTATTGATGATGCGTGGACTACGTTTCCCACATGTGTTTCGATTACTGCCCACGATTCACATATGATGGCTTCCTCATCTATAGTTAATACTGTACCTTGTGCACTAGATCACACAACATTTAACATTACAAATGGATATTCTCCTAATGCGTCATTAACACCTATGCCGAGTAACACAGTGACTGGTAATGAGATTACATTAACAATTCTATGAATCCTATCAGATATATTCTAGGATGGATTCGATTTGCATGCATGGTTGGTTATACACTTGATCCAACAATTGGCGAATTATATACTTGTAATAATGGTGTTTGGTCTACTAAACCACGATGTTTAAGTAGGTGCAATAGTTTGCATATATTTTTGAATTTTCTATACATCCATTTTATAAAGTAACTGGTCGATGTTCATTATCTGAATTGACAAACTTTCTATCGAAGGCAAATGGTTTACAAACTACTAATCAAAGTCAATTAATGCCAGCTTCACAAGAAAAAGACGTCGTAGTTAGTGGATCTTATATTGTGAC